ACACCTTGTGGTGAAAGTTTCATTCTTTAGTAAAGGTTTATTTTTTAGCTAAGTGGGTTCAAATTACAGTGTATCAGATCACATACTGTGCCATTTGTGTGCTTTGTTTTACTTTTGTACTGCTTATTTTACTCTCTATATACTAACTTTCCCATACAGCTCCACATCCTGGCCTATACCTCCTGCCCGGGATAATACATGCCACTAAACATTTTAAAATTTACCTGCTTGGTTCCAGTTTGTTCGGATTTTTACAAGCCCCCAAAGAGCTCCCATCCAGTGTTTGGGGCACTCTTAACAATTTTTAAAAAAATATATTAAATACATAAGTCCATCAATATCCCTAGATCAGATCATAATAAACCAGCAACAACATAAATAGAATAATAGTTCATGGTAGTTAAAATCCTTCTTGAATAGCCATATGGATGGAATACATCTATTTAAAGGTATCAGTAAGTATGCAATTGTCACCATATTCCTTAAGCAGTCTCACGTGCATGCCCCCTCATACTTTTTAATCTCTTCTGCATTAAACAGCTTGTTCATTTTCATATCCTCTCCAGAGAGCTCCACACTGATATGTGAGTGGCTCAGTCAGATTTTGTTACAAGCTAAACTCAGTTCTTGCAGCACTCTTTATCCCTTCCAGTTGCTGCTAAACGTGCTTTCAGCAGCTCATGTGAGATTGGATTCTGGGCCTTAATATTCAAAAGCTGTGAAGGCCCTCAGAATGTTAACAAACTAATTCTGCCTGTTGGACTCTTTCCTAAAGATAGCATGGGCAAGCACCATTCTGTTTTTCTGAGCTTCTAGTACTCTACATCCCAATCATGTCTTTGCGGTCTCCTTATTTCCTATTAGCCCTGATATCTAGATTCTGAACAGGTGCTTCTAGGGCTTTCTGACACACTGCACCTCATCAGAAGCTCTATCCTCTGGTTACTCAGAGAAACACTGTTGGGTTGTATTCTTGCTTCAGCAATGTTTGAACACAGCCTGGTCTAGAGAGTCTTACTGCTCTTTTACTGCTAAATCTTATAGATACTGAAATGGAGTCCTAAGTACACTAGAACTCCATGCAGAGTGCAAGGCTGCCATCAATCATATAGTGAACCAGACGTTGTATGCCAGCTATCTTTCTCTCTCTCTCTACTATTACTCTGACTGTGATAATGTGCTCCTCAGGCACGTGACCAGGTTCCTGAAAGAGCAGTCCCATGAGCCAGAGGGAGCATGCAGAGCAGTTCTTGACATAGCAGAACAAATGAGAGGGGTGCATTGTCCTGCAAGACATCAAGAAGTCAGAGCAGTATGAGTAGGGGAGCAGGCTGGAGGCCCTGCCATTGGAGAAGACTATAAACCAAGCCCTACTGGACCTGCATGATCTGACTACAGCGAAATATTACCTCCAGCTGTGTGATTTCCTGGAGGCTAAATGCCTGGAAGTGAAGGCCAGCAAGTAGTAGGGAGACAACTTCAGGAAGCTGAAGCACCTGGGAGTGTCCCAGGATGGCATGGGGGAGTACCTGTTTGACAAGCACATCTGAACTACACCCTGAAGGCTCTCTCTCAATGACCATCTAAAAGCTGGGAATATATATAGATAAACAAAAATTTAACTCAGGGAAGCTTTCTTCTTGGTTTTTAAAAGTCAAGTTGGGGGATTGGATGGGTCATGGGATTAGTCTTTCACATCTAGGTCACTGATTCAAGAGTCCCAATGTGGTAAACACTGAAAGCTGTTTGTTTACTAGCCTATTTAAATGAGTTGATTACTTCAGTCCAGCCCTTAGAGGAAAAGTCTCCACGTAACCAAAATCACTTTCAGAACTGACACCCTTCTCCGCAGAATGAGGAGAAAAGTCAAGGACTGGGTGAGGAAAGTGATGGTCCCTAAGGGTTAGGCTTGGGGCATAATGGCAGAGCAGGGCAGAGTAGAGAAACTTTTACTGCTGCTGCCTATTCTGTCCCTGTTCTCTAAATTAAGGCGGGCTTAGTCAGAGTTATCAACTGGGCTTCTTTCACAAACTCTAAATTCTCTTTAAAAAACAGACAATTCAAATTACATTTTAAAGTAGGGTGTTTTATCTATTCTGAGAAATTTGAAAGGTAGGAATAATGTTCTCCTAACCACTTGGGAAACATGCAGTGTTCCCTTTGTTTCTAATGGTGCAGAAGCTAACCTAATTCTGTGTATATTTACCTCCTTGTAAGTGTCCCTGTATATTGATGACAGCAGGAACATGCTCAGCTCTAGGAGTAATGGGTTACTTGTCTTCTTCATTGTTTTCAGTATCTCATCCATACCTTTAACCCTTGTCACCATAATTCCATTTCCTTAAAGCTCCTTATTTCCCGTAAATTATCCCCATTCATCTTCCTAAAAAATAAACATATACACTTGATTTTTTTCTACACTCGCCAGCTACCATTCTTTCTCTAAGTTATTACTGAGCAGAGTACAAAGTTTTGATAACATCCTTAGAGATGATAAATTAAAAAAATATTTCATAGAAATATTTGAAATTTTTGAAGCTGCTTACATTTTGCAGGATTTGACAGTGTCTCCTTTTCTAGTTTTTCCAAATTTCTCCATATTTTTTACAAAAATGTGTGTTGCATTTTTTTCCAAATTTTTTAAATAATTTAACATTTTTCCAACAACTGTATTTTCTTACTGAAAATTGGGTTTTTGATAAATGAAAAACTTCAAAAATTATTTTGGTAAAAATGTCAGTACACTAAAAGTCGGTATTCCTGGAAAATGTTGATAATACTGGCAATTTTAAATTAAAAATATATATTTTTAAAAATCCACGTGGGAGGAAAGGAACTTTTTAAGCACAAAATTTCAATCCCACTCTAGTGAGAATACAAATGCCTCATGGAAACATGCATACACAAATATCATCCTTCCTCCACAGGGAGAGAGTAACACTCAGCACAATTTATCTGTCTCCATCCCCATGAAAGGAGAGACTGTAAAATATTGTTGCCAAATTAATTCCCAGTGAGGGAGTCTGCTTTGACCCCTAAGGAAGCAATAAGAATTAGGGCAGGTCTAGATAATGCCTTGCAGTTTACATTATTTCAGTTAAAGATTTTTCATTACCTTTTCCCTGCTGCTAGCTAATGTTTTTGGAAACACACTTGGAAAACAGCTGCCAGAAATAGGGGAAGAGAGCTGGTTACAAGGCATTATTCAAGGAGAGATACAAACCCGACTCTCGGTTCTCTTCATTTAAACGCAACTGGGTCAGAAGCACCAACTTCTGTTCATCTGTTGCCCAAGGATAGTTTGCTCCTCATCTGATCATTTGGTTGCATCTCTGTGGCATCCCTGGCAAGGAGAAGCATGAGAAATATCCCAGTGACACTCTTAACCAGAGAGTGATGTGAAATTAGTCTCATATGTCTGTACCGCACATGTGCACAACTGAGTCTTCCTCTTTCAGGTAGGTTCTGCCCCGTTCTGTCCTGGCATGAAAACTGTCAGGTAGTTTAGACCCCCGACCTAGCTTGTTTAAACAAACAAACAAACAAACAAGAACGTAATACTAACAAGTATTTGAGTATTTGGTTTTAGATCTCATCAATAAAAAACAAGGAGTTGCCTACAAGAAGTGGGCTGAATCTCTCTTCCTCTCACACACACTCACTCTACATAAGAACAATCTGTGGTAGTAGTAAAAATGTATACTATGGCAGCATCCAATGGTGCCATTTGTGATTGAGGACCCCTTGTGCTTGAAGCTGTACAAACACAGCTGGGAGACAACCCCTGGATAGTTTACTAAGAGAACCATAAAGATGTGCATATCTAAATTTAGGAACTGCCCCATGTCATTATCCCCCTCATCTTTGTTACCCTCACTATGTGCCATTCTAAAATTAGATGTTAAGCTCCTTGAGTCAGGGAATTTGTTTTTGACTTGTTCTATAAAGTGTCTAGAACACTTTTGGGTGCTGTGAAAATAATTACAATCCCAGGATTTTGTTTGGATGTAATATTTTCCAGATTGTTTTTGCAACCTAAAGATTTCAGCTGGGGGAACCTGAACCTGGCCTGAAAAGCACTCAGAACTATGTACCTAAACTCTCAGAAGTCATTTAGCGTTTTGAGTATGTAAGGAATACAAGATCAGAAATGTAGATAGTACAGTAGTAAGCACTTGTGGGTCTCTATTTCACTCTTTGGACCAGTGTAGAATAGTGATCTCCACACAGACCCCCCAATTTGCCAGTACAGCTTAGTTCTCAAAACATTTTGTGGGCCACCAAAGAAGATGCAGTGGATCCCAGGTGTTTCCTAGGCCACTGTTCAAGAACTGCTGTTACACGCTGCCATATGTTTTAAAGCAAATCTCATCACTGATCTTAGCAGGGAATTTATTTGACTTAAACACTCATGCCAGTTTATGGCCCCTGAGTCTGATACTGGAGCCTTTACTGGTACTAGTAGTCGGGGCTACTGGAGGGGGGGGAACTAAAACATTTGATTGCCCGCTCTGCTGCTCATTTACTATGCAATCCTGAGAAAGATGATTTTTCTCACTGTGCCTCAGTTTTCCATCTTGAAAATGGGGATAATAATCCATAGCTACTTTTGGAATGTGATTTGAGGTCTGAGGATGGCAAGTGCCATGTAAGTGTTAAGTGCTGTTTATTATTATTATTGAGTTTGTATGTAGTCTGAGTGAGGGGCCAGGAAGATAGTGGCCCTTAAGTTGTCAGCTCCTCAGGCCACAGACCTCTCCTCCACCAGGATGAGATTACAAATTCTGCCCATGTGAACTGCCACAATGAGACACGGCTCACAGTAGGCTGGGCAGATAATCAAAACATGAGGGGGAGTTCCAGCGCTGATGGGCTTCCTGCTGGGGGGCCCGAACGTGCCTGGGGGCTCGGCGGGCTCCTCCGCGACTGGAGCAAAGAAATAAGTGTCGGTAACCTGTATCTCCACCTGCGACGCCAAAATGAGTCGTGCCCCGCGGTGCATGCTGCTGATCTGTGACCCTCCCTCTCCTTTCTCAGCCAGGAGGGAAGCTGACTGGAAGGCTAGCTAATGAGGAGCCCGTGGAAGTGATGCGGCGCTGAGAAGAGATTGGAGAATAAGGCCCAGGACGGGGCAGGGGGAGCAGCAACCCAACCCGGTACGGGGGAGGGGTTTACTCCTGGGGTGGATTTGTACCATATTACACGTTCCCGCCGTGGTGAGCCGGACAGAGGCAGCAGGGGGCGCTGGCCGGGGGCTGGGTTGGCTCCTGGGCTGGCGTTGCGGCGATGAGCAGGAAGCCGCAGCCCGGCCCTTATCAGCGGGCGGCAGGCGGGGCCGGGCCCCAGGCCCTGCGCTCCGGCTCCATGGGCGGCGGGGGACAGCGGCTGTAGGCGCCTCCTTCTCCTGCGCCGCGGCAGGGCCGGGAAACAGCAGCAGTAGCGCCAGCGCGGCCTCCCCTGCCCCATGGCGGGCTACGCTCCCCGCCTGCCCCTGCTGCTGCGGAGGCTGCCGCCGCCCTGGGCTCGGGCCGCCCGGCTCCCCCTGAGCGGCGCCCGGCTCCTGCTGCTCTCGGCCGGCAGGTGCGGGGCCCCAGCCGAGCCCGGCCCCTTGCGCCTCCTCCGCGGCGGCGCCCCCCGCTCCGCGTCCTCCGGGCGGCTGGGGCGGCGGCCGGGGAGCCGGAGAGGAGGAGCAGCCCCCGGGGAAGTGGGGGAGACTCGGAGGTGAAGAGGCTGCTAGCCCTGGCACGGCCCGAGCGCTGGAGACTGACAGGTACTTGCCCCTGCCCCCTCCCAGCACCGCCTGCCCCCCAGCCCAGTGAGTGTTACCTGCCCCACCCAGCCTCCGCGCCTAGCCACATACTGTCAGCCACCCCAAGCTCACTGTGACACCAGCACCCCTTGGCAAAGGGCCCCCTGATCTTCACAAAGAGCTGTCACCGCAGAGCCGACAAACTCACTGCACCCCATACGTGTCTTACAGGGTACTTATGCACAAAGGGGAACGTGGCAGGGAGGTAACTTGTCAAGAGTGAGACTCTTTGTGAGATGTGTTCCCGGGTAATATTGAAGGAATAATGTATTTACCTTAAAAGTATGCTTTATAGACTTGGAGTAGAAATTAGTCACCAGGGGATAATATGTCTTGGTAATGGCCCTTTTGGGCAAGGGGGATTTGTCACCCTCACTAACCTGATGCAATGCAAGGCTCAATTGTTTAGCTTTGCACAATGGTAAGACTTTGAATGGGACACCATCAGAGGCAACGGCAAACAACTGAAATGCCTTAAAGGTAAAAAAGGAACAGTACAACAGGACTGGGTTTGCCCTGTCTGCAAATAGAAACAAAAGGCTGCTTTCAGTATAACAGAAGAGAGAGTTGCACTCTGTATCCTTTCACTGAGGAAACCCCTTGTGAAACAGGACTGCTTTCATAAATGTTTGAAACCTGGTGTTTGGGACACCAGCCAACTTTGCAAACAGACTGAACTTTGGGGGGAAAGGAGGAACCTACTTTATGAGATAAGAAAGATAACTCTTGATAAGTGTAGGCCCAGGTTCGTGTTTTATGATTTTGTTTTATATTGTAATCTTTTGTTTCCATCATTCTTGTTTCTAGTTAAATCCTCATTCTTAAATAAACTATCTTTTGTTTTATTATAAGTGCTTGCAAGTGTTGTGTGGTTTAAAGGGGCAGTGGTTTAAGGTAAAACTGGTATGTTGGGGTACACTGCACTTTTGGGAGCAGAGGATCTGTGATTTCTGTGAGTAGGCAATGTCGGGCACGATATCACAGGGGAACAATTCAAAGGGACTCGGGGATTGGAGTGCACCTATTCACCAGCAAGGCGAAGTTAGGGCTGACAAAGTCCAAAAGAGAGTGCTTGAGTGATTGAAAGGCTTGTGGTGTAATGAGCTGGCACCCAGACAAGGAAGACTACCTCTCACTGGAGGTAGGGAATAACAAGATGACCTAGGGTATGTCTACACTACGAAATTAGGTCGATTTTATAGAAGTCGATCTTTAGAAAGCAATTTTATACAGTCAATGGTGTATGTCCCCCCTAAGCGCATTAAGTCGGCGGAGTGCGTCCTCAATACCATGGCTAGCATCGACTCTCAGAGTGGTGCACTGTGGGTAGCTATCTTACAGTTCCCACAGTCTTTGCTGCCCATTGGAAATCTGGGTTAAGCGCCCAGTGCCTGATGGGGCAAAAACGTTGTTGCGGGTGGTTTTGGGTACGTGTCGTCAGTCTCTTCTCTCCCCCTCCCTCCATGAAAGCAACAGCAGACAATCGTTTTGCACCTTTTTTCCTGGGTTACCCGTGCAGATGCCATAGCACGGCAAGCATGGAGCTCGCTCAGCTCACCACTGCTGTTGTGAGCATTGTAAACACCTTGCACATTATCCTGCAGTATGTGCAGAACCTGGCTAGGAGACGCCAGCACGAGGATGATTGTGAGGAGGACATGGACACAGACGTTCCTGAAAGTACGGGATGTGGCAATTGGGACATCATGGCGGCAGTGGTCGATACAGTGGAACGCCGATTCTGGGCCCGGCAAACAAGCACAGTCTGGTGGGACCGCATAGTGTTGCAGGTATGGGACGATTCCCAGTGGCTGCGAAACTTTCGCATGCATAAAGCCACTTTCCTTGAACTTCGTGAGTTGCTTCCTCCCGCCCTGAAGCTCAGGAATACCAAGATGAGAGCTGCCCTGACAATTGAGAAGCGAGTGACGATAGCCCTGTGGAAGCGTTCAATGCCCGACTGCTACTGGTCAGTCGGGAATCAATTTGGAGTGGGCAAATCTACTGTGGAGGCTGCTGTGATCCAAGTAGCTAATGCAATCACTGACGTTCTGCTGTCAAGGGTAGTGACTCTGGGAAATGTGCAGGTCATAGTGGATGGCTTTGTTGCAATGGGGTTCCCTAACTGTGGTGGGGCGATAGACGGAATGCATATACCTATTCTGGCACCGCACCACCTTGCCAATCAGTACATAAACGGCAAGGGGTACTTCTCAATGGTGCTGTAAGCACTGCTGGAATCACAAGGGACGTTTCACTGACATCAACGTGGGATGGCTGGGAAAGGTGCACGACGCTTGCATCTTTAGGAACTCTGGGCTGTTCGAGCAGCTGCAAGAAGGGACTTACTTCCCAGATCAGAAAATTACTGTTGGGGATTTTGAAATGCCAATAGTTATCCTTGGGGACCCAGCCTACCCCATGCTTCCATGGCTCATGAAGCCGTACACAGGCAGCCTGGACAGTAGTAAGGAACAGTTCAACTGTAGGCTGAGCAAGTGCAGAATGGTGATAGAATGTGCCTTTGGATGTTTAAAAACTCACTGGCACTGTTTGCTGACTAGGTTAGACCTCAGCGCAACCAGTATTCCCATCGTTATTGCTGTGTGCTCCATAGTATCTCTGAGAGTAAGGGGGAGACAAATCGCCGGGCGACTGATTTTGAGCAGCCAGACATCAGGGTGATTAGAAGAGCACAGGTAGGCACACTGCGCATCAGAGAGGCTTTGAAAACCAGTTTCATGGCTGGTACGGTGTGACAGTTTTGTGTTTCTCCTTGATGCAGACCCGCCCCCTTTGATTTTAATTCCCTGTAAACCAAACATCCTCCCCCCTTCAACCACAGCTGGCAAAGGAAATATTGATTTGAAACCATGCATACTTTCTTTCTTAATTAAAAAAAAAAAAAGGGAGATAACTGACAAGGTAGCCCGGGTGGGGGAGGGGAGGGGAGGACAAGGCCACATTGCTTATGGTAGCCACACTACAAATCAAAACTGTTTGAATTACAGCCTTCTGTTGCTTGGGCCATCCTCTGAAGTGGAGTGGCTGGGTACCCAGAGCCTCACCCTTCTCCCCCCCATCCCCCCAGCGTTCTTGGGTGTCTGGGTGAGGAGGATATGGAACTTGGGGAGGAGGGCAGGTGGTTGTACAGTGGATGCAGTAGTGGTCTGTGCTCTTGTTGGCTTTCCTGCAGTTCCACCAGATGCCTCATCATGTCAGTTTGCTCCCCCATTAGCCTGAGCATCGCATCCTGTCTCTTCTCATTGCGCTCACTTAATGCTTTCCTAGCCTCTGCCACTGAATTCCTCCATGCATTCAGCTGTGCCCTATCAGTGTGGGAGGACTGCATGAGCTCGGAAAACATGTCATCGCGAGTACGTTTTTTGTTTGTTTTTGTTTTTGGCCTTCTAATCTGCAATAACCTCAGGGACTGAGATGATAGGGAGAGCATAGAAACATTTGCACCCACGGGGGGATAAAAAGGGAGAGTAAAATTTAAGATGATACATTTCTGAGAACAAAAGGGAGACTCTTTCTAGGCAATCAAGCAATTCACAGCAGACAGCACATGTGCTTTAGGTACAAGGTCGCATTTTGCCTTTTTAAATTGAGTGTCTGCGGGTATGGTGACACATCACACACGGCTAGGCAACAGAATTCGGTTTCCAGGCAGCCTTGGTAAGCCAAAGGGTACGCGGGGTTGGCTTCTTCTGCCTTCATAACGTGGGAATGGTTTCAATCTGCAGCGCCCTCCTTTCCCATAGCAAGCAATGCCGGTTGGGTTTGCCATTTAAAAGGAGGGGCTGTGGTTTTTGGGTGGATGTGCAGCATTCTCTGGGATGATCCCTTCACCCCTCCACCCACTGTGTGGCTATTCTCGGGGATGATCCCTTTTAGCTAAGTGCAAACAGCCCAGCATAAACGGGGTCCTTTTACTGTTCCCTTACAAAAATTCCCCTATTTCAACCAGGTGACCATGAATGATATCACTCTCCTGAGGCTAACACAGAAAGAGAGAGACTGAATGTTGCTTGAATGCGACCAAAACCCAGGACCATTCGCTGCCATGCTTTGTGCTGCAGTGATTCCTGACTACTTGCTACTGGCTTGGCGTGCTAAAGTGTCCCACCGTGGAGGAGGAAATAAGGCAGCCCTCCCCAGAAACCTTCTGCAAAGGCTTTCCGAGTACCTCCAGGAGAGCTTCATGGAGATGTCCCTGGAGGATTCACGCTCCATCACCAGACACATTAACAGACTTTTCCAGTAGCTGTACTGGCCGCAAATGCATCCCAAGTCTTCAGGGCAAATCAGACATTAAACACAATTGCTTTTAAACCCTGTAGT